CTTGCCTATTATTTTTCACTCTATTGTAAATAGCAAGAGGCAGATGAAAAGGTAAAAAATATGTTGGTTGGAAGATACTTATTCTCGGCTACCTAGGGTAATCAAGAATAGACATCAGCTCCAGATTTGGTAAGTAATAACTCACATTTGACTTTAATACACCGTGATAAACTTTGAGAAATATATCTTTTAAAACGTAAAATGCTTTACCTCTGATTTAAAGTTTGGGGGATTGGTCCTGCACCGTAGGCAGGTTAGATTTAGCATCTCTGGAAATTCCAGAGCAATTTTAAACTACTCTTTTTGATCACTTGCTGCAGCTCCAGCTTTCAAAGAGAATGAGATGTTTTGGGAATGAATTGTGATGGACTTATATGAAAATTTATATGACCAAGAATTGGATTTGTTCCCCTGGAATATTATAGATTATGTTTTATGTTGGATTACATCAGTGTGCAGTGCAGCAGAAGGCTGGCTTAATGTAGCTAAAAATATACCTTGACTTTCCACTTGGAATAGAACTCCCCACTCCCCAGCCCGTTTCTTCCCTAATGAAAATAATGGCTCATGACTCATATGTGTGATAGACAGTAGGGAATATTTGAGTCTTAAAATAAGAAGAGTTTGAGAAAGGACTAATGGTCCTTTTCTAATTTCTTTCCCATCAGTCTCTTCCCTCCTGTTTCTCTGTCACCATTCTATTTCAAGCCTTCATCACCCCATGCCTTATTGCAATTGCACCTTTCTCAGTCTCCACTCTCCTGGCTTTAATTTGTCCTGCATGCGGGCGCCTGGTCAATCATCCTCCTCCGCCATTAAATTACATGATTAAATGTAATTTCCTGCCATTCTTCAGTGGTTTTTCACCTGCTTCTTAATAAATTGTGAACTCACTTCATAACCACCATCTTAGTCGAGATCACGATTAGGTCCTACCTGAAGTTGGGCAGTAGCTTCCCACCTGGCCACCTAATTGGTCTCACTATTGCTTTGATTTGACTTAGTGTTTTCCAAAAATATTATTCAAGTACCTTTGGTTACATGCAAGATAATTTTGGTGCCACGCAGATACTTTTATGCACAGAATTACTTATAATACATTGCTAATACAGTATTATAAAAATGTAGCAAGGAATTTATGTATATTGTTTAGAATGTAAGGCATCGACAAAGTGAGCTAATAAACCACTTCCTGAGGTGTGGACAGTTCAGGCTGTTCTACAACACTTAGAACACCATCTTCATCACGCCTCCCAGGGGGCAGTTTCACAAAATCACTTTATGTGCCAGGTGGTTTACTGCCATGCCCACATTGGCAATTCTAAGTTCATAACAATGGCAGAGTGGCAACAGTGGGACCGTCCTGGCCTCTTGCCTTCATTCCTGAGTGCAGAGACCTGCCCCTGGTATTGCAAACTACACTGCGGTGATTGGAAACCTTAATGCAGCTTTCTGAAAAGTCTCAACTTCAAATGATGAGTAGCTTAGCTACTGAGAGAATCTTGTTCAATATGCTTATTTTATTTAATTTTTTAAATTTTACGGGAACTTGATACTAAATGAGGAATCATATGCAGAAAGTGCTGAAAGAGGAAACAAAGAGGATGTTGGGGAGTGCTGAACTTAATGAAAGCTCTGTATCCACAAAATAAGTTGTGGCTTTGTCAATTCACTCTAAGTACATTTGAGGAACAATAAACCATGAAAGAGATTACCGTGACCTTGGATTCTGTATAGCTTTTGAGATAAAAGGTCTAAGTATCAGAATGCACTTTTTGAGCATAGTGTTGTTGACTGATTAAAAACAATTCATGCTCCTAGAACCCTCTGGTGGAATGCTGATGAGGGGCTGGCCTGGGTACATTGTGCACAACTGGCTCTCTTAAAGCAAAGATCAAAGTTGCTTTTCTAAAATGGAACACTAAAAGGTAAATCTTTGTAACCACAGATAAATGAGGCAAAGCTACTGACATAAGGATTAAATTGCAATACATTGACTTTGCATTTTTATTACTTATTGGGTACGTATCTTAAAAGCATTTTGAAGATGTTCCAAATTCTAATCATTGTGCAGGATAACAACTCTTAAAACATTTACTATCAGTGAATGTTTTTCTTTGAATATGGCTATTGTATTTTTCTGAATGCTTTAAAAGTGACTACTTGAATTTTATCTTGGTTTGGTCATTTTTCACACGTATAACTTTTAGGCTTAGTGATTAAAAGCGTGGGGTTTTGGAATAAGCATACTTGGGCTCAAACCTTCTGATAATGCTTATTTTCTGTGTGACCTAGGGCAATTAATCTCTTTAAGACTCTATCCCTAAGAAAAAAATGGAAATAATAATAAAATCTCTTTTATGGGGTCTTTAGAAAATGTGATAACATACATAAAATACTTAAGTAAATATTTTCTATATGTTTTTTTCTCATCTGTAAAATAAATTAATAAGAATAAGAATAATGTAGAGAAGAGAACACATCAATCTCTCTGGTTCACCCCTAACTATATACTAAGAGTGAATGGTGAAATTTGGATCTTACTAGATGGTATTGCAATCCATGACCAAAACATATCTTCCATCTCACCCTCCCAGTTACCCTCTTCCCCTCAAAATGTCCTAACAGAAATCTAGGGAAAGGAAAATATCTGGAGAGGAGAAAATACTCCCTTATAGCTGTGCAAGCACCTCTAATACAGGTCTTTCTGGCCAAGGATTGAATCAGAAAATGTGTCTTAGATCTCCAGGCTTAAGTGATTCTGTTTCCCACCCACTGAATCAAGATAACCCTCTTGGCTGAGGGTCCTCCTCGGTTGCCAATTGAGATATGAAGCAGAGAAGGAGATTTGGCCAGGTAGTTCAGGTTCATGGGCCCTGTGTAACCTGCGGACAAGAAGGAAAATGGAGATAATCTTTAACAGACTCCCCACACCTGTCTTAAATTATACCACATTGTAAAAATGTGGTCCAATGATTTCCCTGACCTTCCACCAAAGGGATAAACAACCCCTGCTCTCTTGGAGGCTCAGAGAGAGCTGATGGCTCATCACTTCTGTTGACCCCTTCTCAAAACGTGGAGTCTTTAGAACTAGGGTTGCCAGACTTAACAATTAGAAACAAGGAACACCAGCTACACTGCATCTCAGATGAATGAAGAATCGTATTTGTAGTCTAAGTAGGTCACAAGTAATATTTGGGACATGCTTGTTGGTTGTTTCTCTGAAATTCAAAGTTGACTCAGCATCCTGTGTTTTGCCTAGCAATTCTATTTTCAACAGTTTCTAAAGGTGAATTGGTGATGGATAATTGAGACTGACAGAATGCCTCAGTGAAATGCTGTTGACATTTAGATATTTGTTGGTGCAGGTGGGGGAGTGGTGACTGTCCTGTGCTTTATGGATGTTTAGCAACATTTCTGGCTTCTACCCACAAGATTCTAGTAGCTGTCTCCTGCCCTCCAGTGTGACATCAATTATCTCTCCAGACTTTGTCAAATTGGAAGGGAGGCAATTGAGAACCACTGCTTTAGTGACAGTGGCAAAAGCAGAGCTGTGAAGCATATGAAGATGGTAGACCAGAAGGTGGCACATTTATCCAAATAATGATGCAGCTCTGGTCCCCACCTGCATTTCTTGCCCTCTCCCCACATTCTTGGCTCCTTCCCTATAATATTAGGAGCTGTCCAGACCTCTGTTTGAGAAGACCCAAAGTATAATTTTAGTCCCATATTAACATATTAATTAATTATTTTGAGGGCCAGATCTTGCTCTGTCACTCAGGCTGAAGTGCAGTGGTGTGACCAGGGTTCACTGTATCCTCAAACTCCTGGGCTCAAGCCATCCTTCTACCTCAGCCTCCTGAGTAGCTGAGACTACAGGAATGTGCCACTATGCCAGTTGATTTTTCCATTTTTATTTTTTGTAGAGATGGGGTGTCACTATGTTGCTCAGGCTGGTCTCAAACTACTGGCCTTAAGTGATCCTCCCATTCTGGGCTCCCCAAGTTCTAGGAACCACCACGTGCAGCCCCTATGTTGATTATAATCACTAGAAATTTGTTTGACTCTATTCACTTTGCCTTTCTACCAGCTCACCTGAGGATACATGTGGCAACTGTTTAAGCTTAACTCAGATCTTCTTCAAAGAACATCCAATAAACACTTAAACCAAATATTTACATTTTATCAAAGTCTATAGTTTGCGTGGCTTGAGAGAACTTAGTATTTGGTGGGCAAAATTCTTACAATCACACAACCTTACTTAAGTATACACATTAATATTTTTCTCCATTTTGTTGAGAGAGAGAAACTTAGAGGCATTGGGTAATGAATTCTATCAAATATATTCTATCTATACATTCATCATTAACAAAAGTGCTAATATGCCCTCCTATGATGTTTCCTATTTGTAAAGTTTCTCTGCCTGAATGTTTTCTTACTCCTTGGGAAAAAAAAACTGCAGTGACTTTTGCTCTATTAACTTTGATTGTCCAGCATTGATAATTAATTTTGTAGGCCTATCAGCTTATGTAGTGGGAAAATTTCATTAGTAAGTTAAATGTAACTTCATATCTTCATTGCTTTCCATATTTTGTCGGCTTTTACAGAAGCAATGGTTTTATAAAAAATCCATTGAGCAGAGCAAAGACAATGTAGGTATATGGTTATAATGCTGTAGGGAAAAAAATGTCTGTTCTTCATTCTATATAAAGGTTGTATGTTCTTAAATTTCTTTTATTCTGGTGTGTTTCCTTAAATCAAAATACTCTGTATCCTAAGAAGTCCCACATTAAAGAACAACATTATCTTTATTTGTAATCACAGGCCTTCATCATTGCAGAAAATATCTGAGCCTTCTCAGATTCTGATATTTGTATTTAATCAATAACCACATCCCTTTTTGATCTGCCTTACTTCTCCAATTGTATTTTCCCAGCTGCGTGTGTTTTATTGTATAAGAATTCAATTGAAAGAGCCATTCATGTTTGCAAAAAGGATGATGTTTTATTATTGGTTATAAAGAAAAGAAATTTCACACTTTGTATAACCGACCCTTTCTGTTATAGCATGGTGAATTCTGAAAGTGAGGAACAAAGTTAACAAACCGTGGAAAGCAAGGCCACAGAAAGATCTTGTAATATTCTGACCACACTATCACATAAGCCCTGGTGATTTTCATGTCTCAAATTGACAAGCGTTCCATTCACATTTGAAATGCACAACCTTTGCATAATTTGAGAGTATGTACAGTAGAAAGAATAAGGGACTGATGGCTGAAATATTTAACACCAATATGACATGGCCTGACCAATGATGCTAAGTACCATATTACAGGAATAGGGTTCCAGAGTCCCTGAGGTGTTCCTCCTTTAGTGACTGGACCACAGGTAAGGGCTAGGTGCTCAGAGAGGAGCCAGGAGGGATGGGGCATAAAGGAAGCACTAAGGAGGTGCAAGGGAACACCTGTTGATGAGTCAGTCTGGTAGTGTTTTAGTATTTTAACAACTGTAACACCTGCACCACTGTGCACCAGCTGGACTAATAACTGAGGAGTGCAGGTAGTCAGAAAATTAGAACCCAAGTGAGAGTTCCTGACACTGCCAGTAATTCACTGTGTGGTGTTGAATAAGTCAGTTCACAGGGCCCCTGTTTTCCCCTGTGAAATATAAGAAGGTTGCATAAGAACAGCCTATGTTCCCATCCTGTTCTAGGAATCTATTTTTTTTCTTCTCATTGATCTACATGTTCTATGCATCAAGTATAGAGCTGTTTCTTCGAGCTTCTGGAAAGCAGAGAGACTGTTTCATAGAAGGTGTGGGGCACTTTCATGCTCTGTGGTTTGTGAATAACATGGTAATCAAACAGGAATGAAGCCAGCATTAACTATGGATGCACTGCACTGTCAGGAGCAAGTTGAGAGTGGTTGAATGCCTTTTTTTTTTTTTTTTTTTTTTTTTTTTTTTTTTTGAGACGGAGTTTTGCTCTTGTTACCCAGGCTGGAGTGCAATGGCGCGATCTCGGCTCACCGCAACCTCCGCCTCCTGGATTCAGGCAATTCTCCTGCCTCAGCCTCCCGAGTAGCTGGGATTACAGGTACGCGCCACCATGCCCAGCTAATTTTTTGTACTATTAGTAGAGACGGGATTTCACCATGTTGACCAGGATGGTCTCGATCTCTTGACCTCGTGATCCACCTGCCTCGGCCTCCCAAAGTGCTGGGATTACAGGCTGTTGAATGCCTTTTTAGAGGCAGTTTACAAATGTTTTAAAAAGATAAATAGTTTTCAATGTTTAGGAGAATTTATTTCAAATTGGAAAGCTGTGCTAGTTTGCTACAGAAATAAAGTAAATGGTGCTTCTGCCTGAAGTTGTCTTAAGTCAGAAAAAAACAGGTATTTTGGAGATTTTTATTGTTGCTGTTTCTCTAAATCACAGACACACACACACACACACAAATTGCCTCAACTCTCCATTTAACTTTTGTGTTCTTTGTTTGATTACTCATACATGATGCTTTTTTATATTCAATGAAAATATTAAGATATATTCATGGAAGTTTAGCACAAAGTAATGGGCAATATTTTTGCCCAAGGACTATAGAATTGTTCCTACAGAAAGTAGATTCCAAAGTAACTTTAACCTGGATGTGTTTTCACCACAAATTGTTTTAACTTATTTGAGTCGAAAATCACTTTCCAGTCTATATCACATCTTTTTCTTAAGAAATTATAAGTAAAAGAAGTACTTAATTATTGATCACTTTAATTATCAGACAAAGAAAAACATACGGTTTCTGGAGCACATGCTATATTAAGAAGCTTGGTGCTGAATGAGGACCTACAATGCATATTTCTTTCTGGTGTCAATACAACTGATAGTTTGGTAAAATGAGCTAAATCTGTTTAGTATCCTGTTGCTTATTGTACCTGACAAATAAAAATGAAGAAAGTGAAGAATTGATTGAGGTCTTTTTTTGAAACTTGCACATAATTCTCATTTATGCTTATTAGAATAACTAGGAGCCTTTCTGTAACAAATTAAGAATATGAATAACCTATTATGACATAGTCATAGACATACAACAATATGGTCTAGAATTATAGTACTCTCTTCAAGTACACCATATTCAAAATTCACTGGAGATGCTTTAGAGACATCTGTTGTAATTACAGGAACATGGTTTCTAATTCATTTAATTCCCTTTCCTACCTAAACTGTACATATAAGTGAATTTTAAGAGATTGTATAAATAAATTTTTAATTACAAAATGATGTTATACAATACATTATTAATAATAACCAACAATGCATAATGTTTATGCATGAGTCCATTAGAAAGATGAGCTAATGTATATCAATTCTAAAAGAATGCACTAATTTGTCCTGAATGTGTGAATGAAGTTGAATCCATGATGCAAGCTGATGAGTGCAATAACACAGTGACTTAACATGCTATTTTATAGTCAAGAAACATCTTGTACCTATGGCATTTAAGAGGTGTTTAAGATTTGTTCATCACATGTGATCAAGAATCTTATTTTTCAGTGAGCCATGCGGTTGTGAAATTTGGAATAAGACCATTAAGTTGACAATACTAGCTTTCCTACACAGGTGCAGAATAAAATGGCCTATAGCATCCAAGAAATGTGTACAGTCCTTATATTTCAGCACGTGGAAATCAGTCTTGCTGTAATGGAATTTCCCACCGTGGCCAAAAGGACTGCCGGAACGTGGTTACTTCACCTTGTTAGCGGTAACAGATTTCTGAAATCTCCATGGCCAGTTCCAGACACTCGCTGGTCTCGTGGCAAGACTCAAAAAGGCTGCAGTCCATGTCGCAGTTGCAGTTGCAATCATTCCGAGAGTGGTTTTCATCCGAGGTGTGGTGATACCGGTGAGAAGGGCAACACACCTTGGTACACACCATTTCGCACGTGCCAGGAAGCATCAGGAGACAGTCCCAAAACTGGCAAAACAGACAGGCGAGGATAAGGGAGGCACACTCCTCTGTTTAAAGGAGAAGGTCAATTAATAGTGGCACATCTGGGGGCGTCTATGAATGGCGGGCATGTGTGCTGGGATCCTTGATAACTACATAGCCAACTCTTAATTATTTATTCACATTAGGGGTAATGTACACCGTTCTACTCTCAAGCTCCCTCACCCCCATGCCAGTACTCGCTCTACTTAAGTAATTGCTTTATTAACTTCCTGAGCATTTCCTATTGATTCGACATAATCTGGTTATTTAAAGTGCTGTCACTTTTCTAAACTCCTTTATTTACTTTGCCTGCAAGGCTCTGGGAAGCCACACAACTAGCTACTTCTCTGGAAACTTTGCAACTGTCTGAAAAATTGCAGGGACTCCCCCAATGCATGGGGCTTAAGAAGCAATTAGGGTTGGGGACAAGGAGAGACTGTACAAATGTCCTGTTTGTTGTCACCAGGCTTTGTTATTTTTCGACATGGTTTCCCATAAATCTGCCACACCCATATTCCAGTGCAAGCAAAAAGCACATTTCAAAACTTAATATAAATGCTTTTTAAAATAATCACAGCTTTTGGGTTGTGTTTTATTTTTAATCTCTGTTTCCGTTTCCCTCCAGTTATGTAAAGCCTTGATTTTATATTCAAGTTGTTTAAGTGAAATACGTCATCATATGCCTAAAAGGTTTTAAATCTTATCAATCCTCTTTAAGAAAATTGGTTTAAAAATTTACTACGCAGACTTGTAAAAATCTGGAAAGTATCTCTAAGGCATTGAAGGTAATTGGTAATTCTAGCCAAACAGCTGTGATGGGTTATAGATTATTATGTTTTTTGTTTCTATAAAGGGAATTAGTTAGAAGATGTAGCAGCTCTCTTGTTAAAATTATAACTTTTCTTTGTTTTAAGTTAAAAAAGTTTTTAAAATGTGAGTGTTTCATAAAAGGGTAGGTAAGTGTTCATGTGATATATTATCTAATTAATTAAAATCAGTAATCTGAAGATTATTCATGATTAAAAGTAACATTCTAGTGTGAACTGGAGAAAAGCTTCTCCTCCAGATGGGCTTATCAATTGATTTAAGTTTGAACTTTCATAAGGATCTATATTTTTTCCAGTAAGAATGCTAATAACTTCAGTTATCAGACTTTAGTCAATGGTGACTGTATAAGCACATAAAAGAGATTTTGCCTTATAGTCTAAGTGGTCTTATTGTCCCATTCATTTCCTTCTATTTTCCAGAAAACTCTTTTCTTTCATTGTTCATATACTTGTTAGTCTGTAAGTGAAAGAAAAATATGGAAACATCCTATGAAAAGGAAAAAATATTTTAAAGAAAGACACTTTGGTTTCTTGTAAAAACACTATACAAAGGTCTAAGCTGAGTCTTGGATATAGGTCAACAAAAATCATTCCTCTTTCATTTTTTCCCTCCATCCTCTTTCTCTTACCTTCTCCTCCTTTCTTCCCAGATAGATGGTGGTAAAGAACCACATCTTGACTGTTATGACTACTTTAATTGTCATATATTGTTGAAGGTGCTGTGGCCATTACTCAGTATCTATAGTTTAGGCAGCACATTCCACAATACCTCTAGAGTGTACACACTCATCTGTTTGCCAAATTTGCTGTATTTTTCTTCACTTAGAGCCAGCTTTTAGCATGTGATCAACTCATCCCTATCTCATAGGTTACCACAGACTGCCCACAAAAATGCAAGAGTAAGTTAGAAATAGTATATAGACTGTTTCAACTGTGCTTTTCTGAAGAGGAAAAGATGGTCAAAGGTGAGGGACATAGAACCTTATTGGGTTTTAGCAATGTCAAGACCACTACTATAGCAGCCACTGGCAAAGCAGCTTTAAGTAGATAATATTCCAAGTGAACACTCCATGATCCCTCAGGCTGAACGCTCAAAGAGACTTAATCAAGCTTTTGACCATATAAACATGAGTCCGCTGGATCCTGTCCTTTACACATGCAAGATTCAAAGTTTGCTTTGGAGCTAAGTAGAGTGGGAATGCAGGTGCCCTTAAGGATAGGAGCTGGTGCTTCCTATCAGAGTATGAAGGACTTGTTCATAAAGTGGTCTTATAATTTCCTGAGGGCATACAACCTTTGGGTTCAATTGCACTTGCCAATGTCTCCTCAAGTTGGCAGACTCTGGAGGTCTCCTCTTCTGATGTATACTGCAAATTTTATTTACAAAAGAAAAAAAAGTTTTGGCTTAATCCTTCAGCCAAATTGGCACTTGTTTCCTTCTACCTCCCTATTTTACACTTGAGAATAGAGCCCATTTTTTTCTGTTTCTAAGTCAGTCCTTTTTATTTGGTTTTAAAAGGCAGAGTCTCTTGCCCAAAAACAACATGGTAACATTAATGAATTGAAAACAGATTTTTCCGAACTTTCAAGTGTGTCCCACACTTTTCCTAAAAGGCATATTAAATAATTCTACATGAGCAGGTAAAAGTGTTTTGCATATGGCCAATTTTTGTTTGCACAGAAGTAACACAAGCAGTTCAGGGGAAAATTTGCAACTGTTTGAAAAGAGTGTTGGATTTCCTCTCGTCCCGAATGAGTATATTTTTCTTTGCCTGCACTATTTCCTGGGGCTTTAATGTTTAATAAACGTGATATTCAAAGTCATATCCCATGATTAGCACCACTTCTCTCACCCCATCCAAAAGTGTATGCCATATATGCTATTGCCTGCTGCACATCTCTTCTGCAACATCCTCAAAACATCTCACTTAACAAGGCCAAATTGCATTTTGGATCTCTCTCTCCCTGGTCCCACAAACCGGTTCCTCCTCCTATTTCCTCTTATGGATGGCTCCTGAACACCCAGATGAATTCAGCAGAAACCTGGTAGTCATTCTTTGTCATTTTGCTTTTTCTCTTTACACCCTCCCAACATGCCATTCACTGCTGAGTTCTGCTTATTCCACCTCAAATTCATATTTGAAATCCACAAGCTGCTCACCACCTGCAGGGCCACTGTCTTAGCTCTGGCCACTGTCAGCAGGTCAACAGCAGTAGCCTCCCGGCAAAGATACTCTGCTTCCACACCAGACCACTTCAAATTCATCAGCTCCTTTAATATTTTTAATTCCAAATGTAAACAACTCACTATCCCAGTAGAGAAAAGTGCCAAATCCTTGCCTTAGCCTACTACCCTTGCATGACTGAATTCCTACCCATTTCTCTGACTTCTGGATTTATTTCACTTACTTCATACACACAACACTCCAGCCACACTGACTAAATTGCCGTATTTGAAATGCATCTGGCTCAGGGCCTTTGCACATGTTGTGTTTTTGCCTGCATTGCATGCCCTGCTGCCCCCCAACTTCACCCAACTCCTATTCAAACCTTTAGCTTTTTAGCTTTAAACACCTTCCCTCTAAATCACATCCTTGCTGAAACTCTCATAGCAACCTGTTTTATTTTTTCTTCATAGCACTGACCATAGGATGGCATGAAACTAATTAGTTTGTTACCTCCTCCTGCTAGAATCTATGTTGCAAGAGGCAAGAAAGCCATATCTCTCTCTGGTTTAGTGACTAAATCGATGAGTGATCTAACGAGTAAATATTGTAATCCTCATTTTTCAGATACAAGGACTAAGGTTCAGAGATTGTTTCTAGGCTGGACGTTGTGGCTCATGCCTGTAATCCCAGCACTTTGGGAGGCCAAGACGGGCGCATCACGAGGTCAGGAGTTCAAGAGCAGCCTGGCCAAAATGCCAAAACCCCTTCTCTATTAAAAATTACAAAAAAAAAAAAATTAGCTGGGCATGGTGGCAGGCGCCTGTAATCCAAGCTACTCCAGACACCAGGAAGAATTGCTTGAACCTCGGAGGCAGAGGTTGTCATGAGCCGTGATCGCGCCCCTGCATTCCAGCCTGGGCTATAGAGAGAGACTCCATGTCAAAAAAAAAAAAAAAATAGGTTATTTCTGACTATCCTAATCCTCCCAAATGTAAGATTGTAAAGCACAGATTCAAATCTAAGTCTCTATGGATCCAAAGCCCATGGTCTCTTTCCCACTGCACTGCTGTATGTGTCAAGTATTTCACCAAAAGCCAATCTGCAGTTCTCTAACTTTTTGGGGGAGTGTTCATTTCTCTTCGCCTTCTTTATTTAGAACCTTTGCTTTGTAACATTATTTTGTTTTACTTATTTAAACTTTTTAAAAAGAAACATATATTACGTTCAGGGGTACATGTGCTAATTTGCTATATAGGTCAATTTGTGTCATGGGGGTTTATTGTACAGATTATTTCATCAGCTAGGTATCAAGCCTAGTAACCATGAGTTACTTTTCCTGATCCTCTCCCTCCTCTTACCCTCCACTCTCCAATAGGCCCCAGTTTGTGTTGTTCCCCTCTTTGTGTCCATGTGTTCTCATCATTTAGCTTCCACTATAAGTGAGAACATGTAGTATTTAGTTGTCTGTTTCTGTGTTAGTTTGCTAAGGATGATGGCATCCAGCTCTATCCATGTTCCTGCAAAGACATGATGTTGTTCTTTGTTATGGCTGTATAGTTCTCCATGGTGTACATGTACCACATATTCTTTTACTAGTCTGCCACTGATGGACATTTAGTTTGATTCCATGTCTTTGCTATTGCAAATTTTGTGCAGCCCTCTACATACAGCTTGCACAGGCCTCCAAATAACCCTGAGTTGAGCACTCTTACGATCCCTGTTTATGGATGAGGAAATTGAGGCAATGACAGTTTAAGAGGCATGCCCCAGGAAACATAGACTATGTCAGCATTTTAATGTGAACCCAGACTGACTCCTCACCCAGCACTTTAATTTGAACCCAGATTGGCTTATGGAAGCCAACCTGCCTTCCATAAACCACTCCCGGTTTCCTTCTGACACACTTAAGCATGCCACAGGCCACTGCCAACTTCCTGATGGCCTGCTTCCCTCTCCTTTCCCTCCTCTGTGTTGGATTCCCAAGACTGGCAAAGAACATTTTCCAGTTGCTTTTAGTGGCTTCTGTCTAGATTCAGCCAGTAGGAGGCAGTAAGAGGAACCTGTAAGACAGGAGGAAGAGAAAATTCAGGGTGCTTCTCCTCCCGCTCTTTGCTTTGGGTGGTGTCTTAGGCAGTGGTTGTATCTTCTCTTTGCTTTCATCTCTCTCTGAACAGCCCTTCCCTCTGTGGCTCTGGCTAATGCCATTGACTAGTGGTCTAATAATGGTTAGTGCTAGTGGTGTATCTGATAGTGATGGGTAACTGACTAGTGGTCTATCTGGTGATGGCTAGTGATTAGTAGTCTATTTGATAACAGTTAGTGACTAGTGGTCTATCTGATAATGGTTAGTGACTAGTTGTCTATCTGATAGTGATTAGTGACTTGTGGTCTATCTAATAATGGTGAGCACCTAGTCTGATAACAGCTAGTAAATAGTGCTCTATCTGATAAAGGTTAGTGGCTAGTAGTCTATCTGACAACAGTTATTACTAGCGGTCTCCAAGCTCGTAGCAGTCCACTAGTGATCTGGAGAGACAGAGGGAAGAGGTGGGAGAGGCTTCTTGTTGCAAATGTCTGGGTGGCTTATTGTTTAGTGTATTTGACTTTTCAGCTCTTCTAATACCTTTGTCACAAGTTCTTTGCTTTTAAAATCTCTATAGAACACCTGGCATCCTGGCAGAGGCTCTAATCACTGCTATTGAAGTGCCCACCTGGCTTTCCCATTCCTTAAACCTGAATTAGGAAGGTTTAATATGAATCAGAGACCTGCAGGCTGCATCGTCAACAGTGGTGTTTCGCTGTGAGCAAAAAGCCATGACAAAAACCCCCTTGGGGTTCATTTCCTTTATACACCCCAGAGTACCTTTAGGACATGGAGGCTGTGATGTGCAAAGTGATACCCTAACGACACTGAAGAATTGACACAGCTTCCAGAGGTGCTAAATGTACAACTGGGGATTGGTTAGTTAGGAGGGAGAATCTCACTCACTAGAAAGCATCATGTTTAATTAGAGTGAAAAAGGTGGCAATGCAAGAAGGTTCCACAAGCACACTTGAGGGCAGCCTCATGGCCATGGTCCTGCACTTCCTGACTCTGCCCTCCCAACTTTGGGTCTTGCCACCTTGGTGCCCACAATTAGGAGATGGGAGGAACAAGAGCAGACATTGTATTTCCCGAAGCATTTCTGAGCTGCTGAAGCACACCTCCTGGTACCCCAGGACTCCTTAACCTAAGTGGCAAAAATCACTCTTCCACAAGTGACCCCAGACAAATCACAATACTTCCTCCTCCTCCCCAAAGCAAAGAAAAAAAGAGCCAACATGATACCAGCCCAACTAATGTGCTATCACAGAGAATTCAGCATCATAATGAGATTCATGACACAATGAATCCACCGATTACTAAAAGTTTCCAAAAGTATAAAATCAGTTCTCACTCCCCCACACTGAGTTCTTTAAAAAAGTGTCTGTAATATAGAATGGGAATAAATAAAGTGTGATTGAATGCCTTTCTCTAGCTGGGGTATCATCCCTGATGTTATCAATTTTAATAGCTACTTAAATATGTCAAGATCTATTTAAGTTCAGACAAGCACAACTAACACTCAAGTCAGTTCTTTAGAACTAGAATGACTAGATTTGGGTGATACTAAGTAAATTTGTGCTTATGGTTTTTTCTGAGCAAATGAACTGAAATAATTATAAAATTGAAACATTTTATAAGGTGACACTAGTACATTTAATTGTATGAAATTTACAGTGTAGAAAATGTAATCATTTTATTCAGTAGCCCATGGTGTAATTAAGACTATTCTTTTGAGGTATCTTGTATTTATGATTTTCCTCTTCCACCTGGATGAGATGTCTCAAATTCAAAATTATACATCAATTAGGTATATTCTCAGGATTAGTTTTAAGGGGCCTGTTTTCTAATACCATGTGTATTTCTGATTTTTTTATCCACAGGGAAGCTTTCACAATCAGGAGACTGTAGAAACAAGGATGGTCCTCTGGACTTTTTTCATTTTATTCAGGAAAGGGACCACACACGATGAACCACAATTTAATAATAAAGTAATGTTTCAGCACATAGTGTGTGATGTGCAGTAAAGATCCTTTTAAATTCCCATCAGAGCACACACCATGAACTGTGCTAATGGATGTAACACATTTTACAAAATCTGCATGTGTGAGGCTTTTCCATCCTGTTTTAAGTGGGGCAATGTATATAAATAATAGATATTAGCAATTAAGCATCTATTCCTATGCACTCATTTATACATTTGAAAATAAATTAACCACAAACTACATGAAAGTGGATGCAATCTTCTCTTTTCCCTTCTGTTTTCCCTGCTGTTCCTGAAAGATATTTCTGTATTTATCTCAGTACGAACAATGACCCCAGCTCTCAATTTCTGCATCCTTAAATTAATTACTATCAAAAATTCTCTAAAATGAAGTGAGTCTGACTTAACTCTTGATTTCCTTGACGTTTGCTCTTTAGGATAATGAGAGCTTCTTATCACTTTTTGTGGGTCTTAGGCTGGCTTCTTTTCTGTTCTCCTTTATAGAGGTACCAAAAGCTATTACTTCAACTGGGGAGATTTTTCACGTGGGAGAAAAAGGACAAGTGGACTATCACCTATGCAGTTGGCTTACAACCTGAATTTCCTGGAAACCACCTCATTTAATTATCCTCATGAATCTCCTTTCTCTTTGAAAGAAGGGTAGTCAGCTATTTTTTTGTTTTGGGGTTTTTTTGTTTTGTCCTTTGCATGAGGCTCTTGAGTGTCAGTCCATTTTAAGGGAGTAATGATTTGGGCCCTTTGCTGAGAATACAAGAGTTCAGGTGTCATGCTAGTTGGCTTGGCCCCTCTTATTCCTCCAGTATCCCTGATAGGTCAGATCATAGTGGTTCTGGAGGGAAAGTATGTTTACTGCGTGGATATGTACAATGGCATTTCCCAGTTCTGAGATCATTAACCTAATTCAATTATTCACATGATCAGCAGTATCCACACATTCCTGGTAAAATTTGATAAAATGCTGTAGCATCAAGATGGTTTTGCAGAGGCCTCGCCAGCATTACTTGTTTTCTTGACTGGCATTAGTCTCTACCAAAGCTAGAGATTTGAGCATAATTCTGAATTCAGAGTCGTAACCTGATAGTTGCAGGCCAAAGTTAACCCAATGATATGTTGTTGGGAGTGTCTTGAACTTTGTAAAATAAATGAAAGTAATTATAAACACTGGAAAACTTAGAAACTTTACATAACTCTCCTGGTCTCTGAATTTGCCTGGAAAACTTCAATATCTGGCAACTCTTGGCCTGCATTTTCTTCTGGCAGCAATCAGCTGGAACTGCATCAAGGTAGTGATCTTTAGATAAGCCATGTGCTCTCCAGCTTGTCATAGTCCTCACCAATCCCTGTTGTTTACTTCCAGCCTACTTAGTATTTATATTATGTGCAGGCAACCACAGGCAATTAAGCCTGTAGTTTCTGGCCTAAAGCATTCAGGACCACATGTGCACAAGACACCACATATATAACATTGTTAGAAATCTTCTCTTTCCTTACTTTCTAAAACCATAATCACAATCATGGCTGACACTGAGTACCCACTGTGTACCAGCTTTTGTACTAGGTGCTTTATACACGTTGTTTTATTTGATCCCCAAAATACCCCATGGTGCTAACCAGCCTATCATATAACCAGAGACGGTAATATATTCATATATTCAGAGATGGTAAATTTAAAAAAAGTGTCCAGTACTACACAGTTATAGACTTCAGAGTCAGAAGTGAAACTGATGTGATTCCGAAGGTGCTGTTATTCAAAGTTTATTTAATCTTTTTTCTTATTTTCAAAAAGTAAATATGAATTTAAATGTAGACCAGAAACCATACCTTATTACATTTTCCTTTGAGAAACTCCAGGCTTTTGCTAAATGCAAATGTAGATACTGAACACTACAAAATTCCTGAATGGTTTGTCTCCTGTAAAGGTCATTGCAAAGTTAATCTGAGTAAAATTTCATATCTTGGTGTGGAGTCCATAATTTTGAACTTTATTTGGCTGATTGTTTATTTAGAACCAAATCAACTTAAAATTGGCTTTGCAAATGAAATGTACCCTTTATGTCATATATAGGGATGGTTTGGTCTAGGTTTGCCCTGATCAGAATGCCTAGGAATAACTCCCAGAGAAACCATCCCTTTCTCATAGATTGCTGGTTTAGCATCTTAATATTTTATGCTGTCTATATTTATATATTTCCAGTATTTTAATACTATTTCTCTCTGCCTTCTTCTCCTTCTCTCTGACCAGAAGTATAGACTAAATAATTCCATATCTGAAGAGAGAAAGAAGTTTGCCATTTTTCTTTATCCACCTCATAGCCCCATAGTAAGAATGATTATGTCCCATTCCAGCTATTTAAAACACGCTGTCTCCGATTCCCAGCTTTGAGAGCAAACAATCTGCCAAGCACCTCATAACTGTGAAGTGACCTTGACATATGTCATTCACCAGAGTTTTCAAATCGAAATCTTCCTGTTTAATATTCATAAAGACTTTTTTTCCCCCTAACAGCATATGTGATGATTTTATAGGGGATGGGGGTTGGGAGCTTTATTTAGAGAAGGGTTGAATTGTGAGAAACATACCATCAGTGTCTCTGTGATGAACTGAAGTATCAGTTTGGAGGTAGGAAAAATTCGTTTGGCATTCTTCAAGGGAGGACAGTGATGTGCTGGATTCTGACAGTTTTTTCTCATTGGGGTTTTCCTTGGCTGGTCCATCTGTGATATTGAATTCAGATACTGAATTTATAACGATAGCATTAATGGGTTTCTCATCTGCATGCTTTTCATTTGTGAGTTGTGTATCTAGACAAAAAAAGAAAAAAGACATACAGAAAACCACTATAGTTTACGTGACCTAGTGACCTAAAAATAGACATTTGCAGAAATTTTCACATTTGACTTTTCTAAGCTTAAAGTCTTAAGAAAAGGAATGAAGTATTATTGATCAAGATAATTTTGAATGAAAATATAAAAAAGAAGAGTGCAATTATTATAAAATTGTATACACATTGCAAACTTTACCTAATATCATCACTTGTAACACTTATTTCTACTGTGTTTTTTTTTTGTTTGTTTGGTGGGTTGGTTTTCAGTTCTTTGGGCTTGGGTGTTTTTTTTGGTGATGAGTATGGCAAATCAAGCAATTCATTCACTTGGATCAACAAAATCTCACAGTATGTTGCCAGCCTCCTGTCATAGTGTATTATTAATCTGAGGAGCAGGATAAGGATCTTATATGATGGGCAGTACTGCTGAGTTATTCACATGATGTGAAGTCAAGTCACCATATTTTTTTGTTTTTGCAAACATCACTTTCATCCTCTGTAAAAAAAAAATAGATATAAAACAATAGTTTATAAGCTTATTCCTGCTTCTGTTCTCATAACCTCACAGTAGCTCTCTCTGCCTTGGTATTTAAGTTCCTATTCAGGAGATAGCCTGTAAGCCTGTGAGGGTATGCTTCTTGGGAACATGCTTTATTTCCATGTAATTGTTTGGCACAATTGCTAGAGATGCTCAGGGAATTTCTAGCAAAGTTCTTGACTGAGATTCTGGTTTGGAGAGCCATAGAGAAGACTGAGAAGCTCCAAGTGTCTTAAGTATTTTACATCTCCCATGCAGTTGGCCTTCCATATCTGTGGTTTTCACATCCCCAGTAGAACAAACCCTAGATACACAGATAGAAAATATTCAGAAAAACACCAAATAACAATATAACAATAAAAATGGTACAAATAATAAATACAGTATAACAACCACTATACTAATACTATGTATTTACATAGTATTTAGTATGATAAACAATCTAGAGGTGAAGTAAAGTATATGGGAGGATATGCATAGCTTATACGCAAATACTACATCATTTTATATCATGGACTTGAGCCTCTGAAAATTTTGGTATCCATGGAGTCCTGGAACCAATTCCCCTCAGACACTGAGGTACAACTATATGCATTCTCATGCCGCATAATGATTGGGAATCTGCTCTGCAACAAGCACTGGGCTGTATATTGGCGATACAAGGATGACAAAGACAGGCATGGGCCCTGCCCTTCTTGAGCAGGAAACAAATCAACAAATAAATAACTGTGTAAGTTACAGGATTGAGAAATGTATGAAAGAGAAGCATATCATAAAATCATGTTAGAGAGAGGACCAGACTGGGTAGTGGTTCAGTTAATTTATAACTTTCTTACAGCCACTGAGCAAAGTCTTAAGACTGAGAAGAGAGTTAATAGAAGAAAGGATTCTCAAACATTCAGCCAGGGTAATGATGCCCAGAAACAACTTAAAACGTAAATAAACAACAGTCATCATTGTTTGGTGGCACAATTGGGAGGTGGTCAAGAGATGTTCTTGGGAATTGCATTCCCATTGCTAACACAATGCCGGGTTGGTTCAGTAATGCTCATTGAGTGACTGAAATTAATAATTATTGGCAATCTGGTTTGTTTTTACCATGCTTATGCAGCTCAGTGCAAGAAACATATTTTTGCCAAGTCCATGTTCATTTCTCTTCCAATGTTGTTTCTTAGTCTGGGGCCAGTGGAAATTTCTAGTGGGACCTGCCTTCTAAGACAATGGGTTCTAGACTTTTCTGCAGAATAGAATCACCTAGGAAATCTTTTAAAAATTCAGAATTTTTAAATCTCTGGTAGCCTCCTTTTCAGGAGACCAATTAAATCACAATCCTTGGTGGGAGAAGGGAATTTTTCAAGCTCCTCAGGTGATTCCAACATGTAGACAAGTTTGGGAACCACTGTACCAGGGATCTTCAGCATTTGAGAGTAGAGAAAGAGAGAGAACAGCTCACTGACTGGTGCATTAGTGATTTTCAGAAACCATTTATAAGATGGCTGCTCTCTGACTCCTAACTGGCACCAGAACTAGCAGTCTGGTATATTCAACTATCTTAGGTCATTTTCGTTTCTTTCCGGTCTTCCAAACACCCGTGGTTTTCAACAATGTTTAATTTCTATTCTCTTTCTTTTATGTGCTGTCTTTAAATTTCTTGGTTGTGATTTCATCCACCCTAAAAAGGATTGGCAGAAATAGGGATTCAACAAAACATCTATTGTTGAAAGAAATTAATGTATTATTGAATATTTAAGTAGAATCAGCTCTACAGATAAGGGAACATTCAGCTTCCTCTAACCCAAGAGGGATTCACCAAATTAAAGATATCATGATGATGATGATGAAAATAACAATTAGTTTATTTTTCTTACTTGAGTGTCAAAGCATCCAGTAAGCAGCTAATATTGCAGAAAGATGGACATTCAAATGATGCCTTAGAACACTAAGAGCAGCATCAATATTTTAGGCCAAATAATTTTTTGGCATGGAAAGATTGTAGGATGTTTAGTGGTATCGTAGTCCTTTACCCACTAGATGCTCATAGCACCTGACACTCTAGCTCATGACAATCAAAAATGTTTATGCACATTGCTGTATTTCCCCTGTGGGACAAAATCGCCCTGGTTGAAAACCAGTGCTATACATACACGTACAAACACACACAGAGTGGCATGTATTTTATATCAAGTTCTATGTTACCACTTATATACCTTATTGAACTTAAGCATCACAAAGACTCTAGGAGGTAGATATTGTTAGCCTCCCTGAACAGATGGGAAATGTATGAATGGGTATCCCCAGTTAGCAAATGAATGAAGGTAACCAAAGCTTAGAGAGTTTATTTAGGTAAATTGTCCAAGGCCTCCTCCTTATTCAGTAGTAGAACTGAGATTCAAATCTAGGCCTGGTGGATTCCAAAAGCTTTGTTCTTGTCATTTCCCTTTTTATATTATGCAATGTTTTCTCTGATTTATTCTTAACTTTTATTTCTGCTTCCTAACTACTGAGAACGCACATCAGCAAAACCTTCTCACCCTAAATATTGCGATATATCACCTGCCCAAAATTGAGCCTTGCAAATAGTTGAGTTTTACACACTCGCCTTGCCCTGAGCAGTTTTTGCAAAGCAAAACTACCTTCTTTGCACACTCAAGGAATCCTGCTTGTTCCATTACAGCTGCTTTATCCCACACATTAGAGAGCAGCCCAGAAAGAGCTGATAGATAACGAGACCTTGATGAGTATGGAGATTGCAGCAGCTATTTACTTAACAGAATTAATTAACAATCAGTTCAAATTATCACACGTAGTCAGGCTGCATGTAATTTAAATTGCTTTTGCACAAAGTAATTCAGTAACAAAAAAAAGTTGGATAGAGGTTACTGGAATGTAAGAACATGCGGAGAATACAGTATACAGCCAAGTGGTATATGATTCTCTTTTTAATTTTGTGACAATTTTAAGTATAGCATTTTGAATGTAAGTGGTGTGCTACATTAAGCAACCATTTGGAGCACACTAGGCTTGTACTGAGAGAATTTTATGGAGAAGTTAAACTGCCATTCATAAAGTTATTTTAATTCTATATCTCTGTTTATATTTTTATTTTTTTCATTCCTCAGTGGGAACTATCTGTTGCTCATTAGAAAATCATCTGACATACACACATTTGAGAACCCAGTCTGTTCAACCCAGAATTGTGACATCTGAAATGAGTCACAATTTTTGGGTGAATGCTACTGACACTTCCATCTTTTATAGATGATGCTAACAATAATTTCCTCAGAATCAGATTCCTTCCTTTATGGTATTATTTGACATTGCACCCAAAGTACTATAAAGCAGCATAAGCTCAAAGGAGAAACATATAAAAAGTGGTATCACATCTTCTGCAGTGAAAATTATTTTAGAGTTAAATAAGGCACTTGTGAAACTATATTTGGGGTGTTATACATAGTTCTTGACATTAACTTAGAGAAAATAACTTGTACCAATAGTAAAAACAAACCAAAATTATGACAAAAATAGAAGCTGATCTGTATTTCTTAGAAAAAAATGAAAGTGAATCTTAAACATCAGTGAAATAGAAAATTCATATTTGGGCTACAGGTAATTGCAAGAACAAATGGACATAAACTTAAGAGAAAAGATAGACAGTTAATTAAGTTTTTATTACTGTTGAGCAACTGTTATTAATTTAATTCAATTAACATTTATTGAGTACCCACATGCAATAGATGAATCAATGTGACAGGAGCTATTAATTTATTTACTCTAAGTTATTAAGGAAACATTTTAATGATTTTCATTTTTGCTCTCTAAATGTGACTGTAATTTTTGCATCCATGCTTTTTCTTATTTGAGTCTTTATAGATAAAAGCATTCAAATGATGAATAAGTACTATTTCTTCTTCTTTAGGTCCTCTGATTCTATTCTTTTTTCTTCCATTCTTTTCCCACTTTCCTTTTTCTTCTTCCTTTTCCCTTTTCCTTTCTCCTCCCCTCCCGTCCCCTCCCCTCCCCTCTCCCCTCCCTTTCCCTTTCCTTCACTTTCCTTTACCTTTTCCCCTTCCCTTCCCTTTGTCGTTTCCTTTCCTTTGTTCTTTCTTCTTCCTCTATGGTGTAATTCCCCATCTGACCTACCCGTCTCTATTATCAGCTTCTGTTTTCCTCCAGCTCCTTCGGTGTATTTGGTCCTTAAGACTTTGTCCTTTCAGTTTCTTTCTTCCTACACTAACCTTGAAGGCCATATTTGTCCATACTCACAACATCATTGATTATCAGGCTTACTATTACCTGAATGTTTTCCCATTTTCTCTCTCTCTCTCTTTTTTTTTTTTTTTGTGAAGCTGCTCCTAAGTCTTCATGCAGCCAATCACCCAGAGATGCAGGCAATATTTGCCAAGCATAAACTACACGCCTGCTATTGAGCTAACCACTGC